GCTAACCAGAAGGCTGGCGGTTCAAACCCACCAGCCACTCCTCGGAAGGAAGCTGGGGCAATCTACTTCCGTAGTGATACTGCCTCGGAAACCCAAGGAGAGGTTACTATGACTCGGGTCCGATTTGACGGCACATAACAACAACAACAACATGTGGTCTCAAGGAGATGAAATGTAGTGGAGAAAGGTAAGTTGTCATCAAGGAAATGACAAAGACATGATATAGCATCTAAAATGATCTTCATGGAGAGCAAGGCTTGAAGAGGACTTACTGTAACATCATAAGTGGTTTCAAGATGACACAGACATAGCACAACACAGAATCAGCAAAGAAGATGCAGGCATACATGGTCATCAGACCATCACACAAGCATAGGATAACATATTACGTTGTCATGAGAAAGATGGCCTGGACATAGTGTACCAACATGTGTTACATTCCAGGATCTGACAGAGACTGATGGTAGAATCATACAGGGCTATCAAAGAGATGATAAAAATACAGCATCATACATGGCATAATATAGCATCATACATAGATACCAAGAGGATGATGGAAACATAGCATCATCCATATTCTTCACATAGATAACTTATAACATCACAAATGGTTATAAAGTAGGATAGTGTCACATATTTACTCAGGAGATAAGCAGACATAGCATAGCATCATACATGGATTTCAACCAGATGAAATACACATAGTATAATATTTCACACAGCTCTCAAGGTGAGGTCTCAGAAATAGTATAACATGATACATGATCATAAAGTAAATGACATACAGTACATGCACCATGGTTATCAAGGAGATGAAATGCATATAGTGTACCATCATACATGGCTATCAAGGATATTATGTAGACTTGTCGCAGTAACAAGGAGAATAATACAGACAATAGATAGGGCCATACATTGTCGATACTACAGACAATGGATAGGGCCATACATAGTCATTAAGGAGATGATCCACAGTATATCACACACATGACAGAAAAAGCCTAGACTACCCTAAACACATTGTTGGTGGAAATATGGATGTTCAAAATGCTGCTGGTGAAAGCTCAGATAGAAGTGAGGAGCATGGTAGCCAAACCCTGTATCACCTTAGAGCACAATTAAATTGTCAAAAATGGAATGTTGGTAGAAATATATATGTAAAAGACGGTTGCTGGTGAGGTCTCAAAAGGAAATGAGAA